TTGAACTTAGAGCAGAAAAGTCTTATTTTCTCGTTAAGTTACACGGGTTTTGGATTTTATTCAAACTGGCTACTTATGGCAACCAAAACTTACTTGCATTAGTTTAGCTAAATTCTTGCAATATGTTATTTAAAAACATTATTTTAAAAAGAGAGAGCAGGAATAGAACCTTCAGATCTCATTTGTGTCTTAGTTTTTTATGAAATTTTGTAATCTGATAAATGTTTCTGGATTTAATAAATACTGCAGTGTGCATGGCTACATTAGAGCATAATTTTGCTAGAAAGTCTGTTTTCTACTGTAAATTTACAACTGTTTTGCTTTACTTTTGTTATTCCAGCTGGTTTTAGTTAATACTCATATGTGGGCAGCATCTGAAGGTTAGTCAGCGTGCTGACCCAGCTGTTTCTAGTAGTGTTGCTGCTGCGGTGATTCAAAAAGTTTGCAAGCCTTCAGGAAAGGTCCAGAAAATGTATCTCTGTCCCCATGAGCATTACTTCCTAACCATCCTGTCCCTCGTGCATCACACTGGTGAACAGTGTGCCCATGTACCTGTTAAACACCAGCTTACAACTTACTGTATCAATTATGGAAGAAAAGGGCCGTTTAACCCTCATCATGCATTGTTGTGAAAAGAGTTTGAAATTGAATTTTAAACACTATTTCAAAGACAAACTTGATTTTTTCTTTGTGGCTGAATAGTGTGGAACCTAGAGGTGCTAGGACTATATACTAGGTTTTGGATGCTTAATTTTAAATAACATTTCAGGATATGACTTTGCATTTCTCAGCAGGACTTAAATCTTTTAAAGTAGAAAGGATTGTTTGGGTTTTATTTTTTTAAGCCAAAGATATTGCTTGACTGATCTATTGATTGCTTTTTCCTTGTAGCATAAAGGAGTGCCATGGTTTGCCTCTTATAAATGGGCAGAATTGTGACCCTTATGCAACAGTCTCTCTTGTGGGGCCTTCCAGGTAATTCAGCTTGTTCTTTCTTCTTGGATTTTGTACTGGACTCTTGATATCTGCACTGTACTTCCTATTAATTTTTGTCAAATTCCTGTATGGGGTGGTATAATCAATTGCTCACCCACCTTCCTCTGTTCCCTGTTTTTCTTAATGGGTTAGTTTCTTTGCGGCAGTTGTTTAGCAATTGGGAGGAAGCAAGAGAGTGGAGGTTCTGGTGAGACCTTTCTAATGTCACCACGTTCAGGATGCTGCATTCGAGGTCTCCACAGTTTAAATGTTTCTCTTTTTTTTTTTTTTTTTTCAATTGATAATCCTGAATAACTATTGGAGTTTTTAATTTAAGAAAAATCCCATATCCCACACACTCACTATCTGCAAGTCCCTCCCCAATAACATCTAAAGTAAGCTAGGTTTCAGTTCTTTCTCTTTTGCAACATCAAACTCAAGTTTGTCTACTTTCTCTGGTACTAAAGAGTGGCCACTGTGAGCATAGTGCTGGAAAGTCTTCTAGCAAACTTGCGTGTTTTAAAGACTTTGGAAGGATTGTCCCCGAGTAAGCTCTGAATGAATGGGACATTTTTTCCTCCATGGCAATACGTGATCACATTTTTTTTTCAGGTTTGGGTTGGGGTTTTTTGGCAGCTGTTTCTTTGGTTTGGTTGGTTGGGGTGTTTTGGTTTTAGTTTTTGGGTTTGGTTTTTTTGGTTTTGGTTTTGGGTTTTTTTACAAGAACTGGGAAAATTCAACCATTATGCCTAGGAAGCATGGAGTTGATTGCCAGAGAGGTAAATTGACAAATATTTCCTGTTTGAGGAATGAAAATCACATCCATCCGTAACACATCATTCTGTGATGTGAATGGTGATACGGATGGAACTGAGTGAATGTTGGTCCCACACAATATTTACCCCATTGGTATGAGAATAGATGTGCAAATCTGACAGAAGTTCCTAGTTAAGATTTTCCAATCTTGTGCATGTGTGACTCATGTACCATGGCTGGAATGTTTATATGGCCAGTGCCTGAAAACAGTTAGTTGATATCTAGGACAATTTTTCTTCTCTCATCTGTTTTTCCCCCTCACATTTTATATTTGTTTCTCTTAGAAAGCATTTTTATACTATCATAGCACTTTACTAACTAAATAAAAACTTCTATAAAATGTGTAAAATTTTAAAAATATTATTTCTATAAAATGCAAGGGAGTGGGGAGCAATTGTTTTGTTTGACCCTATGCTGTTTAACATCTAGCATTAGCAGCGATTCCTTCCAGACAAAACATTTAGTGGCTTGCTGTAAGCCTTTATCTGTAAAGAAGTAGTGGGTATTTCCCCAGCAAAAGAGGGTGGAAAAAACAGAAATTGGCAGTTGAACAAGATGAGGAAAACTGTGCTCATAACCTGCAAGCAGTGGTCAAGAAATTGTCTGCAGACTTAAGTTTGAAATGCTTTAGAAATTGTTGGTGCATTTTACTTGATATGTGTAAGTTATACTTGTTTGTGAAATGAAATAGAAACTTGGGCTGGACAGGTGCACTAGATGCAGCTCTTGAAATTTTAACTTTTCAAACTATATTGTGAAGATGAACTAATTTTATTTAAAGATTTTCTTAATTGATCAAAGTGGTCTCTAAAATGTCAATGTTTTAACTTTAATGCATGGGTCCTTCTTGACAATAGAATGTCTTTATAATTATGTGTTTAAGTTGTCTATGGTAAAAAATTTTGCCACATTGGAACAGGAATGACCAAAAGAAGACCAAAGTAAAGAAGAAAACAAGCAATCCGCAGTTTAACGAAACATTTTATTTTGAGGTAACTTTTTGTGTGGTGTTCTGCCTGTTTATCTTTTTTTATGCAACCCTTCCAAATATTTTTAAGCAAGCTGCACAGCAGTACCTAACGCTGAAAGCTCTCTTCAGTCAAATTGAAGAGCTTTTACTAACCTTTCAAGTATAAGTGAATGACATATTAAATATCTGGGGCTGCCAATCAATAGCATTCCCATTCAGTTGCTATGTGAAAAATGACTTCCTCACAAGCACATATGTGAAGCTAATTTGTTATCTTGAATTACTTTATATAGCATCTGTTGCCATCAGGAGTTCTGAGAGAACTTCAACTTATCCTGTGGAATTTGATTTAAATATTTTCAAGAACATTGAGCTAAAAAAAACTCCCAACTTTTTTCTTTTATAAAACAATGTAGTAATTATACCAAATAAAGGCTAATTTTATTATTTCATTTTTTAAAATGTTAACTTTTTTGTTACTTAGAATTTTATTTCAATTCCACGAGTTACCCTACAATAACCAAATTATAAGTTTGACTTTTCATCTGATTTGTCTCTGTAATAAAAACTACGTTTGTGTGTTAGCATACTGTTTAGCTGAGATTTGGAAGTAGTACAACTTATATGTGCCTCAAATGTATTATAATTTACTTTGTTTATATAGATCCCAGTCCTGGTGTGGGCCTTCAGAGAAATTGTTCCATACTTGTGTACAGAGTGTCAATGTATGGTGTGTGTTTCAGTTGACCTGCTCAAGATGCTGAGTATAATTTCTTAGGAACTAAGATATTAGGATAAAAATGTGATCCAAACCACTCTGATAACTTTATGACTTAAAATTTATTGGAGTTAAACTGAGAATGCAATTAGTCAAGAAATTAGGAAAATTAAAATAAGAGGTTACACAATTGTGGTATAACTAAGGCAAGAAGAGTGGAGTTCTTATTTGTTGTTTCTGTAAACATATCAGAACTAACTTTAATGATTTGTTGGGGCTCACTGAAACCAAATAAATTCTTGCCAGTTTCATGTTCTTTCTTGTTTTTCTTAACAGATCTACACTATAATTCCCTTAGATGGCTCCCCCCTGAACCCTTCTTGACCCATTTTTCACCTGCTTTCTGTCAAAAGGCAGTTTGTTTGGTGAACTAAACTTTTTCCTTTTTAAAAGGAATAGTAACTATTTACCAATATTAAAGAGGCAGGGTTTACTTTGGTTTTTTACATCCATAATACAACAGTAATAAGTGTGTTAATAGGAGGAATTTACTTGCAGGTGACTAGGTCCAGCAGTTACACCAAAAAGTCCCAGTTTCAGGTGGAAGAAGAAGACATTGAGAAACTAGAAGTCAGGTAAGTTATGTAGATTAGAAAGTGGTTTATTTTGTCATTAATAAAGCATAATATTTTATCATCAAGGCAATAAAGAAATGTTTTATTTTAGTGTAACTCCAGAGAATTACTTATCTGACTTGTAGAAAAGATCCATCTAACATAAAAAATTACTCAAATATTTTAGTGTGTTTCTTACTGAAGATGAGGTTTTTTTGTTTTTAAGTAAATAGTGGTAGAGTGTATCTAACAGCCTAAGCTTGTTTCCTGTATTTGTGAGTAAAGAGGCATGAGGACCTCCTATCAATATATTAGTCTGGGCAGACTATTGGTAACAGAACTTGTACCAAAGAATAACAGCATACCTGATGCTAGTCTGTGGTTTCAAATGTAGTTGGCGGTTTAAATAAAAACAGATGGAAAAGTCTCTTTTATGAGATTTTTATGGTTTCGCATTGCTTCTTAGAAGAACATTTGTGCTGCATCTTTTCCTTGCAAATGCAAAGAATACTTTAAAGTATTTTCCCCTTTTTGTGCTCCTTTACCATCAGAGCAAGTCTGTCTGTGTTTGTGCTATGTAATTAGAACAGTTGAGAGCCCCTGTACTCAGTTTCTTTTGTTTATTGGGCTCCTGCGCATACATGTACCAAATCTACTGAATGACAAAAAGGCTTCGAGGCTAGCATATGTTTCCCAACAAGCATCAGAAGAAGAATTTAGTGGTTAGTTTTAATAGCCATTGTAGAACTAACTCTCTATGTGCATTTTTAAGTATTAACTTAATGAATATCTTAATTAGAACTGTATATTTCGTTATAGATGCAAATATATTTAGAAAAATAGTCATGCCCCAACAAATCTAGTTTTATTTTTTTTTGTTCTTCTTAACAACTGCTGTCTGTCAGAAATGTCAGAGAGGTAAGAAGTAATAGAAAAAACCCAAGGTGCATGTCTGGAGTCTGTGATTCCTTTTGAGGTTATAAGCATACGAGCTGCTGTTTGGAAAACAAACGCATGTGTTGGTGTGGCATTGCAATGTGCCAAATTTTAGCAATTAGACAGGGATATGTACATATATTGGTTAAAAAGTTCACTTGAATTACCTGAGAATAAACGTGCACTGTTTTGGGCGTGGAAACTGCTCAGAGTATATCTAAGTTGCCAGCATCACTTTTATTTACTGATGCAAGGTCTGCGAGTCTAACTGTCACTGTTTGGTTTTTTATGTGTTCTTTCTGGGTGAATAAGCCACTCGTTTGATTCTTCTTGATTTAATTAGAATGGAGTGAGATTTCTAACATTTCCTGCCTGCGTGCATGTGGATTAGTGCTGTAAGGCAGTTACTGTTAACTTGAAGATTTTTGTTTCTTTCTGGGAGTAAAAAAAAAATTAAGCAATGTTCTTATTTTCAGAGTTGACCTATGGAATAATGGAAATTTGGTACAAGACGTCTTTCTAGGAGAAATTAAAGTTCCTGTGAAGGTGTTAAGAAATGATTCCTTTCAAGCATGGTGAGAATTGGTGGCTCAGAAGTGAATTTGATTCTATCTTGCAGATCTTCCCTTGCAAAGGATATGTTTTATTCAAACTATCCATTAAAATATGTCTTCCTGTTCTAGTCTAGGTAAAATGTCTTTCTAGAGTGTTTCCCTGATCAGTAAATTAACCTTGTCAGAGGGGACATTAAGCTGTCAAGTAGAGGTTCTCCTTGTAAATCATTTTTACTTTATATTAGGATGCCTTCATGGTCAGTGCATCTGATTATTAAAATGTCTGATCTCCTGACTGTAGAAGTACAAATATAAATGATTGTAAGAGAATATTTGAAGATATGATTTCAGTTTGTTGGGCTGAATGTTGAAGCTATACTGTGACACTACTTAAAAGCTGTTAAAATTTTTGTAGGGCTGCACCTCCTGTTGGAATACAGTTGAACTACAGCAAAAGCCAATGAAGAATTATTTACTATATTTTGTGCTGAGAGTAGCAAAAAAGCACAGTTTTTTTTCCTTTAATCTTACTTGTTTCTCAGGTATATAGCCTGTTAATATTATATATTCTTACTGGTTCCAGACTAGACCATTTTAATTCTTGACACTAGCTGTTTCATCTGCACTGTCCAACATCCTAAATATAACCTAGAAATAAAATAGGGAGGTCCAACATAATTTCTAACTATTCCTGCTATCCCAGTTGAGCTACAAGAAGAATGTCCTATTTCACTGTTTGGAAAGATAAGAGAAAAAAATATATGTTCTATTATGTGCTAAAGGTACATCGAATACTGTTCCTTTTTTTTTTTTTTTCCTTTTGTGTCTCGAGTTTTTTTAATGTGGATTTTATTGCCAGTTTTCAGACTCAGTTGATGTATACTGAAATAATGTGATACTTTGCTTTATTGTAGAATTAGTCAAATTAATGAAATGTGAATCTAATACTTTAGAATTGCCCTGTTGCTTTCAGGTACTTACTTCAACCAAGAGAAAATGGAAACAAGTCTTCTAAAACTGATGATTTGGGATCACTTAGATTAAATATCTGTTATACTGAAGACTGTGTACTCCCGTCTGAATACTACACTTCTCTAAGAAATTTGCTGCTAAAATCACCAGATGTTCAGGTACTTTTCTTGAAAATTTCTTTTAAAATGAATTATGCAGTCCTGTATGAGACGATGTGAATTACACATATCTAGAGAATTTTTTTGTTCCTTTGTGTGAATTCTTCTGTCGCAACCAGATGAGCAGCTTGTAGAGCATTTATTTCTGCTTCAGACTTCCAAGATTTTCTTCTTGGTTTGGAAGAACCAGCAGAGACAAGTGAAATAACCTGTGCTGTGTGATTGGAAGATATAAAATACTTCCTTCTTGTTGGTTGCTCTTTTCAACATTGTCTTTTCCCACTGGCTGCTGTTGGCCCCCTGGATTTAGCGATTTTCTGGGGCATTATTGGCTCTGAAGGAACAGATAATCACCTTTACCAAGAACGATCTGTTTCAGAATTGATTTCTAATTCCGCTTCTGAATTGCTTCTGTCTTCCCCGGTATGTTAATCAGCATGGCTGAATTTCTCACGTGGACATGGAGACAAAGAGGAAAGTGTGGTAGATAGTGTAACACTGAGACAGGAATCAAATCATAGTAACCAAGCTTTATATTCCTGGGTCTTTTATGGCCTTTCTTCACTTCAGTGTTGGTGAAGTACTGACAGAGGAGAAGAAAGGTGAAAAGGAAGGAGATTGTTACTAAAATTTTCACTAGCCCACATTCAAATACTACTTCACTGGAATTCAGGAAGAGCTGAGTATGTAGCTAGCAGCAGTCAGCAGCTGTCTTTTTTACTTAAATTAAATAACTTGATCAGTTTTTATATTGAAATTCCCAACTGTATAATGATGACAGACACTTTAGAAGCGTGATAACTGTATTTTAACGTGCTCTGATTATAGTTTTAAAAGCCCTGTAAAGGTATATGACATTATAGTAAAGCAATTGCTTACTGCCTCTTACTTGGATTTGTGACAAAGCCATACTCTAACCCTTTAGGGAGAATGCAAAGGGTGAGTTGATGCTGAATTTCATTCTTAAATGTCAAGTATAAAGTAGCTAATGCCAATTTCCAATTAAGTATTTCTGCAGAATGGATACTTTTAATTGCCATGTTACACATCAAATGTTGAAACTTTATTTTAAGAAGCTATGTCTGTAGTCTTGTTAGATTTGATCCGTACTTTGCCAAATAGATGAAGAACATTTAACTGCATCACTCATGATTTCATATTCTGCTTTCTCACAGCCGATTTCTGCATCTGCTGCCTACATACTGAGTGAAGTTTGTCGAGACAAGTATGATGCTGTTCTGCCTCTTGTACGATTATTGCTACACCACCATAAGCTAGTTCCGTTTGTTGCTGCAGTGGCAGAACTAGATCTGAAGGACACTCAGTATGTATTTCATGTTTAGTGATGTCATGCCTTTTTAAATTATTCTTAGAGTTTCAAAGGGCTTCATGATAGTAAACATTAAATTATTTCTCTCATTATGTAAAAATGACTAGATGCATTGATCTTTTAATGCTGGTTTATAAAAACATTCATTAAAATCACATTGAAGTTGGAATTCAGAGTTAGTGATTGTGTGCTATTTGGTAAAATTTTCTTGGAGCTTGCTCAGCATAGCAAGCTAGCAGTCTAGAGTTGTGTCTAAAAGCACATAGTTTTTATTTTAAAATGTCATTGTTTTGTCATTCTTCAAATTTTACTGGTCATTAGATCAGTACTTAACATTTTTTAAATTGCTGAGAATTTTATCCTGTTTCCTTTAGTATGTGACTTAAATCAGGGGTGCTCTTTTTCTGCAAAGATGCTTTGTAAGTAAGTACGTGTCCTCCTGCATGCCTTGAAAGTAGCAAGCAGTGTATGGTCTGTGAATTTGCAGCTCTGTGGTTAGGGGAGAAATGAAGTAGACCTGTGTAGTGGCCACTAAGGTGCCAAGTCATGTCCTGTGGAATTGTGGAAGAGATTTTGTCACCACAGAATGGTTCATTTCAAAGCTGGTTTATTTCAGCTTTAAGTAAGGTGAGACAATTTAACTGTGTAGAAAGAGGTGACTCATGGAAAATAATTTTCTAAACTGCATTTTAGTACACACATTCCTTTCCATTATAATTGAACTGTAACAAAGAAAGATTAAGCTAAATCTCTCAGATCAGAAAGATTTACTTTGCATAGTTAGCTCTCAGTTTTCTTCAACAGCTGTAATGAATAATACACTGTTTATCAGTGTAGCGTAGCAGTATATTATTTATTGTAGCTTTTAAGGGTTGGTTGGTGGTTTTTTTTTTTGACCAGGAATACTGGAGGAAATATTGGCAAGGTACAAGTCTTCATTATTTTGGAGTTTTCTCCAATAGTTCTTTCTCACATTCAGCACTGGATTATAATTTGCTATGTCTAAAATTTCTTAGGATTTTCCTTATGGTTTTATTTATGTTCCTGGTTTTGGTAATAGCTGTAATGATGTTCTTGTTTGTTATCTTTTTGTTCCTGAGTGCCATTGCAGGTATCTAGATATCTAGGTTCTGGAATTTCTGACTGAAGTATATGTAAAAATGTTTCCAGAAAATGAATTATATAATAGCAAGATAAAGTATTAATCAGATTTTGTAACTGAGCTTCTTATTTTTCCTGTTCAAATAAAATCAATTCTTTTCTTACAGAGAAGCAAACACAATCTTCAGAGGCAACTCGTTAGTAACTCGGTGTGTAGATGAAATGATGAAAATAGTGGGGAAGCACTACCTAAAGGTTACTTTGAAACCTGTTATTGATGAGGTAGGTTATCCTACTGAACTGTTCTCAGGACACTTAGCCCCATGGGGTATCCTGTCTCTTTGATAGGCTTTTTACTTACTCCCTTTGTGGTAGTAATCACTCAGTTGAAGGAATTCTAGAGGAAAGTTAAATTGGGCAAAAATTGTTTAAGTTTAGTAGTAGGAATAGTTGGGTTTTTTTTTAATTATGTTCCAGATGCTTGAAAAATAAACAGTCAATGACAGTTCTTCCAGCCTCTAACACATTGCAGAATTCACCCACATTATGCTTTATGTAATTGATTCATGTACAAAGGCACACACAAAAGTGAGGATGATTATTACATGCTGTTATGGATCATTAGAACCTATTTAGAGTTTTACCTCTAAATCTAGGACAGAATCTGGCTTTAAATAGGTGCATTTCCCTGCTTTCTGTTGGAAAAATTGAACTCATAGTTTTGTTTGTTTGTTTCAGATATGTGAGTCTCCTAAACCCTGTGAAATAGATCCCATCAAATTAAGAGAAGGCGATAATGTAGAAATTAATATGGTGAGTTTCCTGATCTGTTTTCCCTAATTTAAACTTTCTCAAAATGTGACAGAGAAACGTTTTAAAAAGCAGCTCTGTGTAATGGAAAATAAGTAACTTACGGTAGCGGTATAATTCTCTGATTCCAGAGCAAACAAAGGACAAGTTGTATTTTCTTATCCCTGTTTATGAAAACTGCAAAGGAAAAGTCCAACAGGGAGGAGACACTAAACAGAGGATTACAGTCTTCATTACCAGTTTGTTGGGTGCTGTGATTCCCAATGTTCTGTACTCAGTATCTGGATGATGAAGTAGCTAATTAGGACTGCTTTAAGGACTTTAACTTTTCCATTGAAGTTTTGCTTGCTGCTTGCCTGTTACCAGGTGACTTTTAAAGCAATAGTAACTGCAACAAACTAAATTACCATTCACTAGGTATGCATGGGAAGTGCTTCTTCCTTGTAACATATTGTTGTCAAATTACAAAAGCAGGTTTTGATAGATAGTTGTGTATTGACAGATGCTGCTTATATACTTTAGTGTAAGTGAGTATTATTGAACTATCTTTTAACACTAGTAATCCCATATAAATATTATGAGACTTTTAAAACATGCACTGTACTAAAATACATAATTGAATAGTCAGGCAGTGTTTGAAAAAAGGAAATGTAGTGTTTGTGTTCAGGAAAAAAAAACATAGAAATGTAAATATTAATGTTTTGAAAAAAACCCCTTTTTCGTAATTGCAGGAAAATCTACGCTATTACGTAGACAAAGTATTCCGTGAAATTGTGCGGTCAAGTATAAGTTGTCCTACCCTAATGTGTGACGTTTTTTATTCTTTGAGGCATCTGGCTGCCAAAAGATTTCCAAGTAAGTGTTCTCTAAAAACTTTTGAAAATGATGTTCAAAGTGAAATATTTAACTTCTGCAGTTACCTTGTGGGGAATGTTGATATTCTTGCCTTGTCCAAAGCTGTGCCCTGAACTTCTTAATTTGACAATCAGACATTTGTTTTTCTGTCAGTCTGTAAGTTACAGTAAAGCCTAGTGGTCAATCAATAAGAATTTTGTATTTTCTGATACAAAAATGTAGCAGGTCAGAAACAGTGCAAGACAGGTGCAGTGTTAGACCAGTATTAGAACAGTTTTATTCTTTCAGAATGGTTTTAATAGAGGAATAATGTGGTGGGTCTGAAAAACTCTTATACTTCAGTCATTTAAAATCTGAAATGCCATGTAATAAGCCATATAACAAAGGAAGAATATACTTTTCGTAATCTGGAGCCTTTTTCTAGTTCGTGTTTGTCACTGGAACTGACAGCATAAATTCCTCTAGTTAAGACAGTCCTTTCAGAACAGCTAACTTCCCAGACAGACCAGACTGAAGTAGTCATTAGAGTAAGAATGTGATCCCACTATATTTCCTAGTGTAAAGGTGTAAATATTCCCAAAATATTAAATTATAAAATCCTCATCAAAATTATATCACACCATGGTTTTATGATGCCACTCAGAACTGGAATTAGTTGTTCATATATGTTGACTGCATTTGTTGTGCAGCGTATTAACATATTTGAGTTGATCAGCGATTAGCTTCACGGGTGTAAACTACCCGATAGCTCTGGTGTTTAAAGGCAAATGCTGCAGTATTTTCTCCTTTGGTTCAATGTACTACAACCATACCTAATCAACACTGTATGTAAATGCTTGCAGTAATCTCATTGTTCCTAATAGTGGAGCTGATGAGCCAGTTTTAAGAGAATAGGACTTCCTTTCAGAGAAATAAGCCCTCCATTATAAGTAGAACATTTCTTACCATGATCACCTTTCTCATTTCATGCACTTCATTGATTTTTCTATTCTCTTTTAAAATATAAATGTCTCCTCTGATGTTATCTTCTTAAGGATTTTTATGTTGACTGTCTTCATTATTTCCTGTTAAGTTCAGTCCATGTTACATTTCATGGTTTTTCTCTGCAGATGACCCTCATGTACAGTATTCTGCAGTGAGCAGCTTTGTGTTTCTTCGTTTCTTTGCTGTAGCCGTAGTCTCACCTCATACTTTTCATTTACGACCTCACCATCCAGTAAGTTTCGTGAAGCTTTGTTCTGTTTTATTCATAACAGTCAGATCTGTTTATCTGGGAAGGCATAAGTTACTTTCAGTGGGTCTGTAACTGGGAAATAAGATTACTAAATGTCTCAAGTTAGGTTTTCAATTTTATAACTCACCAAAGGAACTAAGATATTTGCACCACTTAAAGCATCAAATTTCGCAGTCTTTAAGAGGTGTTCTTAAATGATGTAGAAGAGCTATTAATATTAAAGATGCTGTGCCTTTTTTGGGAATGTGTTTCTTTGTTAGAATAGCAACATGACTGGTGGTTCTTAAAAGCATTTGCCTAAACTGCATTGGTTCCTTCCACCTTGAAAGTTAAACATCCAGATGTCACTTACTTTTACAAAAATATTTCCACTTGTGTCTTAAACGGAGGTTGTAGAGTTATCCAGTAACTGGTCTGCATATTTATTCTGGACTCCACTAGTTGCAGTGGTTCCGTTTTCAGTTTTCAAATTGACAAGTAGATATGTTTAAAAAAAAAATCTTGAAAGACAGGAATATGGAGATAAGAAAAAATACTATATTATTTTCACATAACATACAGAATATGTATGAAAGCATCTACTCCAGAGGATATCTTTATTAGCTTATTTCATGTATTTAAGTGTGTTGTGCTTTCAAAAGAAAAAAACCTACCTACTCAAACTCATTCCTCGCTTGAGGGTTAAACATTTCATAGGGAACAGCAAGGCTCCTTTCTGTGTCTGTGTTTATAATCCTGTACTAAAATACAAGCAGAGAGGTAGCAAACAAATTAGGCAAAAACCTTAAAGACAAAGTTTTAAGTTCACTTTGTATTATGAACATTTCTACCATTTGTTCAGCAATAAGTTAATTATGTTTAGTGTTAAGTTTTGAATAGTTCAGAAGCATTAGAAGTATAGTAACAATTATGGGATTTGAGGGGTTTGAGATGTTTTATAGATAAAAATATTTTTCCAAGTGCTTATATTAAATTCTAGTGGTAGTAAGTAAAATATTAAATACTGTGCAGTAGCTTATAAATTATACGTATATTCACAAAGGACAAGGGCTAATAGAGGACAATACTGCATACATGTCTCTTTGGGCAAAGAGGAAAAGAAACAAAGATATGTCAATTTACTACATTGTGTAATACATATTTTTTGTAACATTTTAATTTTTAAATAAAAGTTTTACCTGGAATTGTGAAAAAATTACTTCTGATTTTTTTTATTTTTTTTTTTTTTCTTTTAGGATGCACAGACTTCTAGAACATTAACTCTTATATCAAAAGCCATCCAGACTTTGGGGAGTTGGGGAAGTTTGACCAAAAGCAAACTTGTAAGACTACTAAAATTCTTTCTTATTTCATAGACAACATTCTTTGAAGGTTTATTTATGTCAATATACCTTTTCTTTCAGTCAAGTTTCAAGGAGACATTTATGTGTGAGTTTTTCAAAACATTTCAAGAAGAAAAATTTACTGAATCTGTTAAAAAGGTAACTTTCAACTAGATTTTTTTTTTTAATGGTTGATGTATATTATCAGTTTTAATTATTAGAAGGTTGTGTTATTGTTCAGTTTTCTACTAGAGAGCAAAAGAAAAATTGTGGTCCATTTCAGATGTCTTTTTAAAAAAACAACTAACAAACATCCACACAATTGAATATGCAAAAGTTACACATACTGGACTAAGCTAATCTAGTTTAAAAAAAACCACCACAAAACAACACCCCCCCCCCCCCCCCCCCCCCCCCCCCCCCCCCCCGCTGTTTAGGAACTAATTAAAGAAATCTTGTGTGACTTATGGGCATCTCTTGTTGCATTGTTCCAAGTCTCTGCAATATATCTTCATTTCATCTGTTCCAATAAAGTAATTGTGTTACAGGAGAAACTGTACATGTATATTTTCAAAACAGTTTTTGATTGTTCTGTGTTTCTGAATAGTATATATTCCCTGTGTATTTTTCCTTAAGTTCTTAGATGATGTTTCGTCTACTGAAAGTAAAGAGCCCAGTGGTCTGAGTGAGCCAGTACATCTAAAAGAAGGGTAAATGCATCTTGAATCTATATTGTGCAGAACAGAATTGACTTTACTGTTTTCTCATTAATGCCAACGTCAGATTAATGCTCATTAAATTGTCTGATATACTGTAGAGATTATGGTATTTGTAATTTGTGATAATTCTTTGTTAGTTTGCAGAATTAGTTTAAACCAACAACTGTAAGCTTTCATAATTCATCTTTTAAATACTTTGGGAAAAATAATTAAAAGCAGCTTAAAACATGTTAAAGCCTGTCTGCATTTCTGTTAAAATTCTGTACAATTCAGCTCTATGATGGTTTGTTCAGGATTGTGAAGGTGTATTTTAAAAGAACAAATTAATTTAATTTAGAATTACTTTGCATGCTGTGTAAGTCCAGCCAGCTAAATGTTCTGCCTTTAAAGTAGGGGAAAAAAATACCCTGTAATTTGAATGCTTTTATAAAAATTGAGGTGAAAAATCACTGTTTCTAAGAAATGAATTGTCTTTTTTTATGTTGATCAAGAATAGCTGATGAATTAATTCAAACAACATTTATAGGGAAAAAATATTTGTATTTACCTGACAAGCAGATGCATAGCAAATAAAAAGTCTTCTGTGAAACAAGCATCTAAATTTCAAACAAGGAAGAAATGTAGCCTGTATTAAAATACGAAGTAGAAATGAAGGTGACAATTATAGTGCATCAGCACTTAGTTATAGCATTTTGCAAGCTAATTATAAACTGATGGTTGTTGCTCAAAAAAAATAGTTACCATTGAGTACAAAGTGTCCTGAATACAGTTTGTGACTTCACTTGCTATTGAGTCGTGTTCAGCATCATTTCATTTGTATTCAGTTTCTGATCCAGATAAGGCCAAGTACATTCACATGTAGAAATTTGCAGGAAGGAGAGAATCTTGGATACACGTTAACACCCTTCTGGGAAAATTTGGAGTTCTGGATCTGAATAATTAAGTACCCACTCCAAATTTACTGCTACAAACAAGAGTCTGGATTATGTATTTTCTGAACTCATTTCCTGTTCATGGAACCCTGTACACATTCAGCATATTGGGAGGTAATCTGGAGGATCTAGTTTGAACAAATAGTAGGGTTTTTTAATCTATAATGAAGTAGATTTTTATATTGCTGCATGATAAACAAGAATGTGTTATCTCAATAAATGTTTTGAAAGCTCTTCAGAAGACTAATGGTTGCATTTAATTTGATTCTGTCTTTACAGAGAAATGTACAAAAGAGCTCAAGGAAGGACTCGGATTGGTAAAAAGAATTTCAAGAAGCGGTGGTTCTGTCTAACAAGTAGAGAATTAACCTACCACAAACAGCAAGGTAAATTATGTTTATTTTACAATTATTTTTATTTTCTCAATTTTTTTAAAGTGTTTACTTCTGATTTGTGCTTTTTAAAATGCATATTTTTTTCTTTTCCTAAAGTACATATGCTAAACTCTTCTCAGTGATGCCCAATGGTAGGACAAGGGGCAGTGGGTGTAGCTGGAACACAGGAGGTTCCGCTTAAACTTGAGAAGAAACTTCTTTACAGTGAGGGTGACAGAGCACTGGAACAGGCTGCCCAGGGAGGTTGTGGAGTCTCCTTCTCTGGAGACATTCAAGACCCACCTGGACGCCTTCCTGTGTAAAATTGTTCAGGTTCCTGCTCCGGCAGGGGGATTGGACTAGATGATCTTTCGAGGTCCCTTCCAATCCCCAACATTCTGTGATTCTGTGATAAGTTTTAGTTACCTTTGGCCTGATTACCAAATGCTTCTGATTCATGTGCATTTTCTCAAGAATAAAAATGCACATTTTGAGAACTTAACCTACAGTATCAATGCACTGAAATTGGAAAACAGATTTTTAAAATGTTTCACTCAACTGTTTACAATTTTTTTACAGATAAAGAGCCAATTTTCACTATTCCAATCAAAAACATCCTTGCAGTGGAGAAACTTGATGAGAGCTCCTTTAACAAGAAAAATGTGAGTCAAAAAATAGTTTATATGTAATTCTTTGTGTTCTGTAATTAGCTTATAGAATTACTGAAACCCTATTACTAAAGATTTCAGCGAAAAATCTGGTTTGGATCAGGAATAAAAAGCTGTGTGCAGTATTTCCAAGTACTGAACATGGAACTTAGCCTTGATTTGGATTTCTGCACCAACTTTTCTGACTGATTTTATTTCTTCTGCTCCCCTTTCCGAATTTCTGGAATGGAGGTCAAAACTACTGTGACCTTATTACAAAACGCGTTTATGTAAGGTATTAGAGTATGTATTAACTTATGTTCCACTAGAAATGAAATATTACCAAGCTTGTATTTATTCCTTTTGATGGGAACTTCTTACAATACCTTAATCAGCTGAGACAGTTGTCTGTGCTCACAGCCTGGTTCTGGACGTGTAACAGTAACTTCAGCGTTTCTGTTATTTCAATCAAAAATTTTGAGGCAGTGCTCAAAGTACAGCTGTTACTTAGGCTGAGGATGGCTGGAGGAGAGACTTCTGGGAATCCTGTGTTACTCTCAGGATATGAGGCATGAAGTCTGAGGTTACATTTAAAGATACATGAATGAAGAGGACAGAAAATGGATCATGTTCTAATTCTTTAAAGATTTTTTTTTTTGGATGAGGAAATGGTGTAGACAAAACACAGGGAACTGTTTTGGGTTTTTTGTTTTTTTTTTCTCCTAAATAGGGCTGTGTAGTAAAATGAAAGAGGTGAAAAGTTGTCTTTTCTCCCTTGTCTCTTTCTCTCTTAATTTGGCTTTGCTGAATTGCCTGAGGTTTGAAATCTATTTTGCCATACTCAAAGTTGCTCAATAACTGTGGGATTTCTACTGAGCAGAATAACGTTGCATTCCTTCTATAGATGTTTCAAGTACTACATGGAGAAAAGCCGCTCTATATCCAAGCAAATAACTGTGTAGAAGCTAGTGAATGGATAGAAGCTCTTTGCCGAGTAACGAGGTGCAACCAGAAGAGACTTAGTTTTTACCATCCTTCTGCTTTTCTGAATGGGAACTGGCTTTGCTGCAAGGCTACAATAGAGAACACAGTGGGCTGTGCTCGTTGCACTGCGTAAGTTGCTTCTCAAATGGAAGTACATGTGTTTTGTAGGACAGATAATGTATATACAACTTGAAAATTTGAAGGTGAGGCTTTCCCTTTCTACTCTAAAGTGACACTACTAAAAACATGCCTTACTAATAAGGCCTGAGGTAATGGATTTTACTGAGCCTACTACTTCGTCAGCCACCATATGAAATGAAGGTAACCAATTTAAATCAGAAATACTGAATGGTTGATTTCTTTCCATACAGAATAGTAGCTCAAGTTTATTCCAATGCCAAACTGAATGCAGAAACATGACATGTCTAGGACATCTATATGAAATAATTGAAATACCTTGCTTCAGAGGGTCTCAGCATGAAAGACTATCTCTTTCCC